CTTCCGTCATACAGAAGAATAACTCTCAAGCCGTGTTCAGGCAGTGTCTCAGAGGTTGCCCTTGGGAGAGGGGGTTCTCTTCACCTCCGTACAGAGAAGCTGATCTTTCATCTGTTTTATATGTGAATTCCTGCTCAAGGTCACATTAAAGAGAAAGAGCATTGAAGAGTTCAAATGCTTTCTAAAACTGTCTGAAAACCACCATTCTAGAAATCTCAGTCATGCATAATTTCATTCCTTGATAATGCCAGAGGGGTTGCTATGTGACCTTCACACACATACTGCCTCAGTAACAGACATGCCCCAGACCTTGGATAGGGCACAGGCGTGCATGGCCACCAGCCTCCTCCAGCTGACCCACTTAACAGTCGGCTGCGTCGCTCTGTGCAGGAGCAGCTGTGCGTGAAGAAGGTGGCCAGCCTGGCCGGGCCAGTGGGACAGGGCACAAGGAAGCGCAGGGCCCTGCCTGCACACCTTCACCAGGTGACCCGCTTGGACTCTCAGCATGTTCCCAGCGGCTGCCTGGACTGCCCACTGATGAAGAGGACCGTGAGTGCCAATAGCAAGTCCTCAGAAGGGAGCGAAGGGAAGAGGCTGGGAAGCACTAGTGGGAGCAGGGAGAAGGAGAAGCACAGGAGTGAAGTGAGCAGAGGAAGCAGCTGCTGGGCTGCTGTTGGGACATCAGGGGCTGCTCTGTCTCTGGGCCACAGAGGAGACAGCAGCCCTTCAGGCAGTTGTTCTAGCCTGGAGCATCCAGTGGCTGCCCCATCCTGCAGGCAGGGGGCAGACCGGGGGGGGGGGGGGGGAGCAGAGGGCTTACCTCGGGAGCTTTCCTGCGTCCCTCTCCTGATCTGTCTGAGCTGTGTCTCAGGCCCCCACAGGGATGAGAAGGTCCCCCACTGAGCTCCCTGACCAGAGGTCCTGCAGTCACACAACATCATCGAACCAGAGACTCTACAGAGGTCTGTGCCCTGCTGTGGGCATCAAATCAGCAGGGAAGGTTCCAGCATGAGTACAGGAAGCTCCTCTAATGTGGGAAAGTCCTCTTCGGCAGCGTCAGGATTTCAGTCATGAGAAGCATTTGTTTCTAGTATGTAATTCATTCACGCTCCTGTTCCCGTAGCTTATTTCCTCCTATAAAGCAGAATGCTTGGAAATGGCTTTTGCCAATAAAGCATGATCGTTGAATTCCAAGACAGCATCACCCTCTATTTCCTGAATATGAATACATTTATGGAAAACTTAGGCCCAAAGTAGTGTCTCTTTCTCAGCTGGCTCTGTTGCCTTTAGTTGGAAAGGGCAGAATCTCAATCTGAACCTCAATTTTGTCAGATCATTCATGCTGACCACCCCCAGCTTTTCACCAAAGGACATCCGGTGTTACTTTCGGTTGCAGGGCTGTTCCACTCACCGTTAAGTACTGCTGACTCCTACACCGAGGGTATGTCTGTGTGCCAAGGACAAGACAGAGGAATATAAGACCTGGCCCACTCTTGCAGAGTGGACCACAGGTGTCCGATGTTCCCGGAAAGTCAGTGATGCAAGGACACGTACCTTAGGAGTGCCTAGATGCGGAAGGTTCTTGAGTGCTGGAGGAACTCAGGAAACCACATGGCATGACTTGAATCTTGAAAGATGGGTAGATTTTTGGAAGAGAGAGACTGTGAGGTTGAAGTAACAGTTGTCGGCCAAGTTGCAGGCTTGGGCCAAAGTGTGCATGCGGACAGACCAGGAAGAACTAGAGTGGGAGTGGGGGCGGGGGCAGGTGGTGACAAGAGCTCTGACCAGCTATGCCTCCACTTACAAGTCCCAGTGGCTGCCTATTGTTGATGGCGGCCGGCAGACACTAACCTCCTTTCCAGCCCAGCCCAGCAGCTCCCTCCCACCCATCCTGCGCCTCTGTCCTCCCGCCTGTACCTTGCAAGCCCTCTTGCATGCAATTCCATCCTCTTTCTCTCTGCTCCATCCCCTCCCCATCCCCCCAACTGACAGTCCCAAACATTGATCCAAGCTCAACTCAACTAGAAGCCTTCTCTGCCCTCCGCAGGTGGCACTCTTTCCTCCCTGTGCTCCCAAGGCGGCTGTGTCCTTCAGTCACTGGCCTTTCTGGCTCCCACTAGCATCACCACTGACAGAGGGCCCTCCAGGCCGATGCGAGGACTTCTGGCTGGGTAGAGTATGTGTGTCCACTCACTAGGGTTGCTCCCAGTGTACCTGGAAGGTTTTTTTTTTTTAATCCTCACCCGAGGACATTTTTTTCATTTTTTGTTCAGATAGAGTGGGAGGGAGAGAGAGATAAACATCGACGTGAAAGGGACACATCGACTGGTTGCCACCCACACGACCCAACCAGGGCCGGGGACAAACTGCAACCCAGGTCTCTCTGGACCACAGGCCGATGCTCTAACTGCTGAGTTGAATTGGCCAGGGCACCTGGGAGGTATTTTTAAGTGTTTCCAATTTCTGTGTTGTGTTGTCAAGGCAGAAGCAACTTAGTATCCAGCTAGTGGGTTTGTCCTTGAGAGAGCAGCAATTAGGGACTCTGAGCTTCCAGCCCTTTCCTGCTGGGTCCCAGTTAGCATAACCCAGTGTCCGCTCCATTCAGAGAGCAGTGACTCAAGGCTAACCTGGGGGAAACTGTCAACCAAAGAATGTGCAGCCACTTCCTGGCAGATGGGAGACCCTGGCAGGGTTGCTGTGGGAGCGTATGTGGGAGTGGGAGGTGGTGTGTCTTGAGCTGAACAGTGGGGGTCCTGGAGGGCAGGGAGAACTGAAGCAATTGCAAGCAGTCAGTTCTCTACCTCAGGGAAACGTTTGTACCAAACAGAAACCCTTTCATTTCCTGTGTCAAATGCCCTGGAGAAGTAAGTGATGTTGTGAGTGGCTTAATCTTCTCTCAGTTGATGTTGTCCAGCGAAAGAATTGGAATTGGGCATCCCAATTCTCATACTCGTTTTAGAAGCCCTGCAGCTCGTGTGTTTGTGTAACTTGAATTGAAACCGTCTGTTGCACGGGTTGGTCGGCTGGTGCAGGCGCTTGCTGATGCTGATGCCTGGCTTCTCAGTCCTCCTTTGTTCAGCTGCAGTCAACAGAGGAGGTGTGCTAGCTAGGAGGCATTACCAACGCACCTTTCCTTCCGCAACATTAGGATGTTGCTATGGCAACTGATAAGCTCTAGAAGCAGCCCCAACTATTGTTTCTTTCTTCAAGGGGGAGAAAAATATCCAGGATTGCCACCTCACTGCTGTGAGTACAGACAAAGCGAGGGTTTGGAGCCCAGAGGGTAGAATATTTGGTGCACATTGGTGCATTTAGTTCTCGAGTGGACAGGGCTGTGCACGTGGCCATTCCAGGAGTGGGTGATTTCAGGAGTGAGCTGAGCTGGGCAGGAGCACGGTGGGCGCTGAGGCACAGCAGGAGCCCTGCGCAGGTGCCGACATCTCTGCTGGCTGGTGGGTGAGTGTTCACATCTCTTAGGGGCCTGGTCTGTACACTCTCCATCTCTGCTGCCAGCCTCCATCATGGTCCTCAAAGTGAGGTTCTGTGCAGGTAAGATAGGTGATGCCAATGACCTTGGGCAATGAGTCTGCTGCTACAGACCCCACAAAGTGAAAGTCATCAAACTCTGAGAAGCTTTATAGGAGATGCAGCATGGAGAGTAGAAGAGAGCACTGGCCTTGGATGGACAGACAGACCTAGGTGCCCCTGCTCTGCTCCCGACACTGGGTGTTCTCAGAAGACCCGTAGCTCACGTGTCTTCAGTGCCTTCATCCAGAAAGGGAACATAAGTCCAACTTTGAAGGGTTGTTGTGAGAATCATAGATAATGTACCGTCAGTCCTTCATATCCATGGGTTTTGTATATGCGGGTGCAACCAACCACGAATCACAAACAGTACACGTATTCTCACTTCGTAGTTGGGAGTCTGCAGGTACGGAGGGCTGACCGCATGCATTGTTCTCTGACGTTGTATATAAGGGACCTGAGCATCGAAGAGTTTGGTATCTATGGGGGTCCTGGAACCAATCCCCTATGGATACCCAGGGATGACTATGTATAAAACACATCTGTTGTGACCAGCCAGTACATAGTAGGTGCTCATTAATGTTAAGTACTAGTCAAAGTAATCCCTGGAAGACAGAACACAGACCTGGACTTATTTGGTGTTTCCCAGCATCTGGGCCAACTGGAAGTTTTAAAAAATAATCACCTACATCAGGCTTTCTAGGTCAGTATTTTTAATATTTGCAAAGATGGGACCAAGGCATCAATATTAAGAAAACAAACAAACAACAACAACAACAAAAAAAAAATTAGCCCTGGCCGGTTTGGCTCAGCGGTTAGAGCGTCCACCTGCGGTCCGGAGAGACCTGGGTTCGGTTCCCGATAAGGGCATGTACCTCGGTTGCAGTTTGTCCCCGGCCCTGGTTGGTCGTGTGGGTGGCAGCCACTCAATGTGTCCCTTTCACATCGATGTTTCCCTCTCTCTCTCTTTCTCTCTCTCCCTCCCACTCTATCTGTACAAAAAATGGAAAAAAACAAAACAAAACAAAAAAAAAAAGAAAACAAACAAACAAAAAAACTTCCCTAGGTAATGCTGATGTAGGCAGTCTGTGACTCCAGATAGGAAGTTCCCTCGCTTGTTTAAGAATAAAGAATATAAACAGCACTGGATTTCCCTCACTTTCCCCTTCCACCAAACCCTGTCATGCCACTTTTATTCTCCTTTGGAACTCCAAAGGCTTCTGCTAAAAGTATCTGTGTTTGGAAGCAGGGATATTTGGTAGAGTGGGTGAAGGGAATCTAATAAGAAAGGCAAAGGAAAACTCAAGTGAAGCGAGTTGAAGAGTCTCTGTGGAAAGCTGTATGCAGCCCCGGATGACCATTTTGGCTACCTAATGGTTGTAAATATGACATTTAAGGTGACTTGTATGATACGCCTAAGCCTTAGGTAGGAGTCTAGCATGCCTGGAGCTGAAGTTCTTTTCTGCACCCCACAGGAACGTGGCTGAAGAGCGGCCTAGGCCTCGTGCACCAGGAAGGCAGCCAGCTGACGTGGACATACATTGCCCCTCAGTTGGGGTACTGGGTGGCAGCCATGTCTCCTCCCAACCCAGGTAACACAGAGCCAGCACCCACGGTCCCTGGGGAGGATGTCTTGAGGGGTCAGGCTGAGTACACTTTGGAAAATAACTTCAGCAGGGACATCACATCTTACTCAAAAATAGTTGCATGTCTGAAAAATCAAATGACGAAGCTAAGGTATTTCATGGGGGTGGGGGAGTTCTGGTTGGAATCCTCCCATCTAGGATAAGAATGATGCATAGAAAATCATCTTGTCTCGTGTCTCTGTTTTTCTTAGACAGCTGCCATAGGAAATTCTTAATCTAAAGCCCACAGAGGCGGCTCAGACCTCCTCCCTAATTCCTGAAACAGCTGTGGCCTGGTGTGAGAGAACATGTAGGAAAAGGCGTTCAGCAGAGGGACTCACAGAAAGTCACCGTGGATGAATTCTTGGGGCAGAAAGCTGAACTTGGCATTGGCGAGAGGGTTCAGAGCCAACCAGTGGCTTTGCGCCTAGAAGGATATTCATCTCCATTTAGGAAATGAGAATGAACTTGTATTTTTCAAAGTGTGACTAAAAGTTTATTTTGTGTGTGTGTGGTTTTTTTTTTTTTTTTTTGGTGGTGTGTGCCCCTTCCCGGGAGTCTCTGGTCCGCAGGCCGACGCTCAACCGCTGAGCCAAACTGGCCAGGGCTAAAAGTTTATTTTTTTAACCTGTGTGTTCCAGTTCATCCCAGTGAGTATTCCAGACTTGTTTTCCAAAATAGTCACCTTAGGAGAAGTATCTCCAGTGATGGCTTTCGTGGCTCAAAGCACCTTTTGAGTCTGTGCCACTTGGACTGCCCTCTTTCGTAAGGCGCTTCACAGACGGCAAATCTGGGTGCTCAGAAGGCCCCTTTGATTTGTCACGGGTTCTTTGAAAAGTCACGCACATCCCAGGGTGGTGAGTAAAGTAGGTGAATGAGCCTAGGCCGAAGTGTGCTATGGTTGAAGCATGTCACTTGTAAATTCACGTTGAAGGCAGTTCCAAAATGGGAGTCCAAAATATGTTAGCCACGGAATTATCACTGGAACGAAGGCTGAGCCTCCCAAAGTCACTACCTTGTTGGGGGCCATTCCTAGATGGATGTTGAAAAATCGTCACCATTTGCTTTATATTCCCGTACTCGGAAAATGGACACACTTCACATCTGTGTTTGTGTTTCCCTTTATGATACTGCTGCTGTAGTAACATAGGCATGAACCAGGCTCCAAGTCTGAAATAGCGAGGCGATGACGAAGAGTGAGGAGGGAAAGAAAATAAATTTCCTAAGTACCAAAGCAAAGGCCACAATTCCCATGCATTAACACTAACTTTCATTTTAGACCTATTTCAAACTTGGCTGTCAGTTTTCCCATCATGTGATGGATTACTTTGTAAAGAGGGGGAAAGAACTGCTGGATGTGGGCCCACTGAAGCTCCCCAGCAGTGAAGGAAGAGGAGGAACAGCTATGAAAAGCACACATAGCACAGTCCCGGGCTGCATTTAATGTAGAAACACGCGTTGGTAACCTCACAGCCATCGCTGCTATTAAAACAAATTACAGGGATGCTATGCCTTCATGAGCCCAAAACCAACAAGAAAATAAGTAGGGGTTTCCTCTTTAATTCTCTGGTTAAGAAGGAAATGAAGTATGCCTGTGAATTTTATAAAGGTTTCCATTGGCAGGAGTTAAAATAATAACATTTTAAGACCTTAAAGGAATCAAGCTTTAGTTATTTGGAAATGATTTTTATGTGCACTCAACACGTCTGGGTGACTCCTGCCAAGGCACTACCTGTGCCCGCGGGGGTTGTCTTTGTGTGAAAACGTGTTTCTCTGAATGATTAAAGGAGGATATAGTTGTCAGACAGTTTTCCAACTTTTGTAAATAGTAACTCCACCCCATTGACATGACTTATAATTGAGAGAGAATGGTGTTGTCTTTTGAACTTAAGTAATGTCACTATTTTCAAAAACTAGTAAACCTTGGGTTCATCAAGCTCTTAAGAGATTTGTTTCCTTCAAAAGAGTTTTGAAAAAAAATCTATCCCTTAGAATGTCAAAAATCAAGAAGTAAATGGGTGAAGCAGTATAAAGGCACATTCCTTCCTTCCCACCTCCGGTGCACTGCCAGGACACCTGGACACCAGGAAGGGCCCACATATGGTAATTTGGGGAGATTTTTGTTACTGGGGACTTGTCAGCGACACTGAGATACATTCTTACAGATACTGAGCATGAAGAATCTAAGTTTAAGTACCTCTTGAGGTTCTTTACAATGGAAACGAGAAGTCCGTTTATCTCTGATGACCAGGTCTGTAAGTTCTGGAGAGGTCTGTGGCCACGTGAGGTTCATCTTTTTTGAAAAGTTAGTATAGAGATACATTTTTTAAAATTCCTTTTCTTTATTGATTTTAGAGAGAGAGGAAGGGAGAGAGGTAGGGAGAGATGGAAACATCAACGAGAGAGGACGTCAGTTGGCTGCCTCCTGCATGCCCCTGCTTTTGGGGACTTGGCCCACAACCTGGGCATGTGCCCCAACCGGGAATCGAACCGGCAACCTCTTGATGCATGGGTCAATGCTCACTGAGCCACACCAGCCGGGTGAGAAACATTTCATTTTTAAAATGAAAGGCATTTTAGAAATACTTGACACAAAAGCTATGGATGTTTTTTAAGTCATAGTACATTTCTTTCGTACATCTCAACTGATTTATGTAGTCAAAGGGCTCTTCACACAGTGAAAGTAAGAATAAATTCTCGTGATTTTTTTTTTCTCCTGCAGTATAAAAATCTCCTGATGCTCAGGCCGTCTCTCTGAGCATGAGAGTCCCAGTCATTATATTGTCATGCATCCATTTGCTTTTATTAAAAGTCGTGTGTTTAGAAGGCTGAACCAGTGTCGCTCTCTGGGCTGAGGAGGGACCCTTGGCACACTGCATGTAGCATTTGCGCAGAGTGCTGCTGGCCACAGCTGCTTCAGTAACGGAGCTGGTCATCCCGCCTCATTGATGACATCATGATATCATCTGAAGGGTGTTTGCATCTGCTCTGCTCCAGGCCCCAGCCAGTAGGAGCAATAAACCGTGACGTTTGTGTTAGTTATCCTTCTTTATCTTGAAAGGTGTTCACAAATCTAAAATGCCCTTTTCTGACCTTCTAGGTCCCGTTGTCACACAGGACATTACCACGTATCACACGGTGTTTCTTTTGGCCATTTTAGGAGGAATGGCTTTCATACTTTTGGTTTTGCTGTGTCTCCTTTTATATTATTGCAGGTAATGTTTTACCATTTTGGCAATATCTTTTTTTCATTTGGAATGTCTTGTGCAAGCATTAATATGGAGGTCTCTTTTTCTGAATCAAAATCCCTTTTTTTTTTCTCATGAAAAATACCTACAAACTATTTGTCATCTTACTTGCAGATGAACAAAGGACTGTGAGGCACACTGTGTATAACATTGCTTTGAAGGGGACTTATAAAAAATGTTTGACAGTTGTCCTGTGATTCACTCAGAATATTCCTAAACACTGATTAAGATGTGATATTCTCAAGGACAAAGCAGAACTATTTTTATTGTGATGCCTCGTCTGTTCCATTTGCGGGAATGTTGATTGTTGATTCTTTGGGTAACCGCTTTTGAGTGAATAACTCAGATGTACTTTTAAAAGCCCGAGGGTGAAATCTGGATTATGCTGCTTGGAATCAAAATAAGGCTGAGGGTGTGGGGTGAGCAGGCTTCTGGCCGCCGATTAGTTGTTTAGTCTTGTTTCTTTCTGTGGAAATTGCGAGTTAGGATTTTACTTGAAACATGACCATGACGAGAACCTTTCATCTTTGGGTTTAGATTATTGTCTCTTTGATTGCAGGCGGAAGTGCTTGAAGCCTCGTCAACACCTTAGAAAACTGCAGCTTCCCGCGGCTCTGGAGAGTTCCAAACGAGATCAGTCCACCTCCATGTCTCACATCAACTTGCTGTTCTCCCGTCGGGAGTCGGAGTTCCCAGGCCCACTCTCGGTCACCAGCCACCGCCGCCCAGACGCCCCAGGCACAAAGGAGCTGATGAGTGGGGTCCATTTAGAAATGATGTCTTCCAACGGAGAGGTGGACATGCACACCCCGATGCTAAAGCTTTCCTATAGCACCTCCCAGGAGTTCAGCTCTCGGGAGGAACTCCTGTCTCATAAGGAAGAGGATAAAAGCCAAATCTCCTTTGATAACCTAACACCGAGTGGGACGTTGGGAAAAGACTACCATAAATCCGTGGAGATTTTTCCCTTGAAGTCCAGAAAATCTATGGAAAGAGAAGGCTATGAGTCCCCTGGCCACGGTGACTACAGGAGGAGTTACAATGCCATGCTGTCACAGCCTTTATTTGAGAAGCAAGACAGAGACAGTCAGGCCTCTGTTAACCATATTTCCACAGGAAGTAAACTCACCATTCAGGAACACATGTACCCCGCACCTTCTTCTCTCGAGAAAGAACAGCTGCTTGACCGCAGACCTACTGAATGTATGATGTCGCGATCCGTGGACCACCTGGAAAGACCTACATCTTTTTCTCGGCCCGGCCAGTTGATCTGCTGCAGCTCCGTTGACCAGGTCAATGACAGCGTTTACAGAAAAGTGTTACCTGCCTTGGTCATCCCTGCTCACTATATGAAACTCCCCGGGGACCACTCGTATGTGGGCCAGCCCTTGGTCGTTCCAGCGGACCAGCAGCTTGAAATCGAGAGACTGCAGGCTGAGCTCTCCAGCCCCCATGCAGGGATCTTTCCGCACTCCTCCTCCCAGATCCAAGCCCAGCCCTTGCCGTGCCAGGCAATCTCTCAGCAGCACTTGCAGGATGCAGGCAGCCGGGATTGGAGCCCGCAGAACGCATCCATGTCGGAGTCTCTCTCCATCCCAGCATCCCTGAATGATGCAGCCTTGGCCCAGATGAACAGCGAGGTCCAGCTCCTGACCGAAAAGGCTCTGATGGAACTTGGCGGTGGGAAGCCGCTCCCACATCCCCGGGCCTGGTTCGTCTCCCTGGACGGTAGGTCCAACGCACACGTTAGACATTCTTACATCGATCTCCAAAGAGCTGGAAGGAATGGAAGTAATGATGCCAGTTTGGACTCGGGAGTGGATATGAATGAACCAAAATCTGCCCGGAAGGGAAGAGGAGACCCTTTGTCTCTCCCTCAGAACCACCCCCCTGTCCAGGAGCATCCTCAGAAGGAGCCCCGGGCGGCCGACAGTACCGCCTACACACAGCTCGTGTACCTGGACGACCTGGACCAAAGCGGCAGTGAGTGTGGCACCACAGTCTGCACCCCTGACGACAGTGCCCTGCGATGCTTGCTGGACAGCTCCAGCCGGAGAAGTGGTGGCCAGCTGCCCAGCCTGCAGGAGGAGATGACCAAACGAACTGCAGAGGGCCCCCCGGAGCCCTTAGCCAGCCCAGATCAACGAAGGTCTGCTCACGAGGATGACGAAGATGATGACGACGATGACCAAGGAGAGGACAAGAAGAGCCCCTGGCAGAAGCGGGAAGAGAGACCCCTGATGGCATTTAACATTAAATGAGCGACTGCAGAGTCACCCAACCTAACAAAGTTGCCAAAAATTCTTACTTATGGAAGCGTTTACATGTTTATGGAGGAGGCTGAACAAACGTGGCCCGTGTACGTTTCCATTATGGATTGTATAAATGTTAGAAAGGAATTACAGTGATGCCTCAGAATAAAGGACGATGGGAATGGATGCCTCACCACCAGGGAGGTGGTGTCTGAATATCCTTCCACATGCTTGACGTGTCCACCCCAAGGACACTAAAAAACCACAACTGATGTTGCTGGGTTCTGAGGATCACCTCAGTTCTCCCTCAGATTCCGGGAACAGATGAAACTCTTTTTTGCATTGCTTGAGTCAGTTTTATCACGATAATGCTCCTATGAAGTTATGATTGAAAAATTAGCTTGGCACTTAGTGTCTCGAGGTATTTGTGACCTCAAAGGAAAGCTATGCATCGCTGCGCCATGCTCTTACTTTGCTTAGGTTTTTGCTTTGCGTAGGTTGTTTCAGGTTCGCTTTTTTTATAAACCCAGTTTGGTTGTCAAGATTTTATTCCTTCATCTTCATCTGTTCTGCTTCTTGGTGGTTTATTTCCATGTTTTCGTTCAGGAACTCCTGAGTGTCATCTCTTAACATTCAAGCCTTTTAATGAAATCGTACTGAAATTTTTTATCAACTGAAAATCCTTCAATTCCGGTCCCATTAACTCCAAGTGCCTTTTTTACAGTGATAACAGACAGTCCCTCACTTATCCTCTTTGTTTTTCTTAACTCCTGTAATGGAACTGCCTGGATTTTATAAAGTTATTAAACGATACCCCTTTTCTTTGAACTGCATGCTGCCAAGTGCCCGTTTGTGCGCAGAATTCTGGTTTCAGCGCAGTGTACTCTCTAGTTTTCCTGTGTGGCGTGGATTCTGTTTAGCTAAGATAGACTAGAGGACACCTTAGAGACCCCCCCCATCCCTTTGGCCACTAGCCACCATTATGGTTTTATTGGCTGTTTGTATATGCGGTTACGTATTAGCGCTGGAATTCTGTGGGCTGATCTTGCTCTCCCAACATGAAGTGTGGACTGAGCAAGTGGACTGAATGTGACTATTAAAAAAAATCTTATGTACTATCCAAAAGTGCCAGAATGACTCTTCTGTGCATTCTCCTTAAAGAGCTGCTTGGTTATCCAAAAAATGAAAAGTCAAAATAAACTCTGCAGGAAAAAAAAACACAAAAAACTATCTTCTGGTTCTTCTCATTTGTTCTCAGCCGTTCTTTTTTTCAAAGTTGTTATGAGAATTTCCTCTTCATTTCTTGGCAGTCTAAATGCCCATTTGTTGGACTTATATTAAAAAACCACCATAAATTTAGACTATGGTTCAGGTCCTTAAAAGTCCACTTGTGCATTTAGTTTCGTGCAAGAATACAAAGTAACATTGTGTGGTGTTTCAGAGGCAAGAAACTGAGGGTTTATGTTCAGTATTGATTCACTTTGCAACAGCTTCCAAATGACCTCATTAAAATTACCAGAACCATCCCCTTATATAAAACTGTTCCTCAAAATCACTAATGGAGACATCAGAACACAGAAGAGATTGGTGGAAAGAAATTAAGAAATTAAGCTAGCTGTGTTTATAGGATCAGCTTCCATACAAAATCTTTATTGGTGAATTCCAGGCAGGCAGAAAACTAATCAGGCTGCTTTTTGTCCTTTTAATTCTAAAGTGTTAACGTTTAGTATTTTGCTTTTAAGAGGTAAACCGGTTGAGAGATTCCTCCACAGTGTCGGGACATCTAAATGTGAGTCTGTGGTTTAACAAGTGAGGGCACCTTTGGGAGTGAACATTCTCACCAATAGGTGGCAGGTGAGCCCTTGCAGACTCCACTGAGACTCCAAGGAAAGGCCCTTTGCCAACTGTCCTCCAAAGAAAAGGTAAGTGGCCTCTACAAGAATACCCAGGGTGCCCTGACCCACGTGGTTCAATTGATTGAGCTTCGTTCTGTGCACCGTGCACTAAAAGGTCACTGGTTTGATTCCTGGTCAGGTTACATATCCAGGTTTTGGGTTTGGTCTCTGGTTGGGGTGCATGCAGGACATAACAGGCCAATGTTTCTCTCTCTCACTCTCCTCTCTCTAAAGAAAACAATTTAAAAATCATATTTAGCCTTGGCCAGTTTGGTTCAGCGGTTAGAGCGTTGGCCCACCGACCAATGAGTTTCGGGTTCGATTCCAGTTGAGTTACGTACCTCTGTCGCGGTTCATCCCCGGCCCTGGTCAGGTTGTATAGGAAGCAACCAGTCGACGTGTCTCTATCACATCCATGTTTCTCTCTGTCTCTTTCTCCCTCCCTTCCTCCCTCCCACTCTATCTAATGATAAATAGAAAAATATTCTCACTCAGCTGGTGTGGCTCAGTGGTTGAGTGTTGACCCATGCACCAAGAGGTCACCAGTTTGATTCCCGGTCAGGGCACATACCCAGGTTGTGGGCCTGACCCCCAGTGGAGGGCATGCAGGAGGCGGCCAATAGATGTTCTCTCTCATCAATGTTTCCCTCTCTCCCTCTCCCTTCCTCTCTCTCACTCTAAAAAAAAAAAATCAATAAAGAAAATTTATTTTTAATATCCTTGGGTTAGGAATTAAAAAAACTCATATTTAGCCCTGGCTGGTTTGGTTCAGTGGTTAGAGCATCAGCCTGTGGACTAGAGTCTCGGGTTCAGTTCCAGTCAGGGGCATGTGCCTCAGTTGCAGTTTGGTCCCTGTATCTCTGTCACATCAGTGTTTCTCTCTATCCTCCTCTTCCTCCCTCTTCCCCTCCCACTCTAGCTAAAGATAAATGGAAAAATAACCTCAGGTGAGGATATTTTTTTAAAAATTATATTTAAGAAATATATATCCAGGGTCAGACCTGGGTGACTGTGACTGGGGAAACACTGGGAGGTCCCCAGCCTGTTGCAGCTCTGCCTAGGGTTATGACCAGGGCTGTCACCTTAAAGCATCAGTTTTCAGAAGATTATGGGAGATCTGGCAGGAAGATGGTGGGCAAAGGGGCTTTTCTGACTTTGAATTAGGCTGGACATAGCTGGGTCTGCCACGGGTACAGAAAATGCAGAGCAGCCAGCCATGATCAGAAGGCGCTGTGTGCCTAGGAAAACAAGGTGTGTGAAAGGGAAATTGGTTCTACCAAAAATGGAGCTTAACTCATTTTCACTTACATGTTAACATTTTTGCTCAGGGTGCTGACACTGATCACCAGACTCTAATTGTCTGCACAGAGCACCGTGACTGAGGACTGGAAACATTTTATTTATCTTCTCTCTACCCTGGTGGGGGTAAAACTATGTCACAGTGTTCCTAGTCAATTATATTGTCTGAAGAACCAAAACCATCAAAGTCATCTTGCTTGTGCCACCTAGTGGTGAGTTTTCACCTGCCTATTAATTAAGGAGACTTCAATTGAACAAGCAGGGGTCCAGCTCTGGGAAGACAGGATGGTGTGCCCAGGAGTGACTTGGACCTACTTCTGTCCTTCAGGTAAGGAGATGGGGACTGATGCTTGTTGAGTCTCTACCCTGGAAACTATATATGTGTGTGTGTGTGTGTGTGTGTGTGTGTGTGTATTTTTTTTTTTGGTACATAGCGGGAACTGAATCCAGGACTCTGGTCCGCAGGCTAATGCTCCAACCACTGAGCCAAACCGGCTGGAGCGGAAACAATATATTGAGAACAATAATACATTCAATTCTAACAATATGCATTCAGTTCTCAAAACATTTTTATTTCTCTGTTTTACCCCTAACTAAATTGAGGCTGGAGGCTTAGGTAATTGAGGCCCCTTAGCCAGAAGCTGCTTAAACAACCAGCTCTCTGGAAATGAATGCATGTAAGTTATAAATGTCCCTGATTAAAGAGTGTGTAGGACACAACTTACACATCCAAACAAAATACATAATTGTAAAAACCATTTGACAGGTGTTCTCACAGAATGCTTTCGTCAATTTTTGCCATACCTATTGTGGCAATTGACAAAAGGATGTAGCTCTGACATTAATGTATTGTTTTTACATAAATGATTAAGATGAAACTGAAACAAAGACATGTCAGAACGTCACTCGTTCATCCATCATACCATGTCTTCTTTGCTGAGTCAGACACTGGTTTTTGAATGCTGGAAGAGTATTTTCGCAGCCTGCTGTGCTAGTCCCAGTGTGATGGGTCTAGACATGATACAGTTTTAGGTTTATTGACATTTTTTCAGTGCTTTCTTTTTTTTTTTTTTAATCCTCACCTGAGGACATTTTTGCATTTTTTGTTCAGACAGAGCGGGAGGGAGAGAGAGGAAGAGAGAGAGAGAAACATCGATGTGAAGGGACACATCGAGTGGCTGCCACCCGCACGACCAACCAGGGCCGGGGACAAACTGCAACCGAGGTACGTGCCCTTAGCGGAAACCGAACCCGGGTCTCTCTGTACCGCAGGCCGACGCTCTAACCGCTGAGCCAAACCGGCCAGGGCTAAATCTAGACAGCAAATCAAGGGTTGATTTGTGGCATTGACAATTTCCATGGTGTAAATACACCCACATGGCCAGTGGCCAGCAACTAAAGTGACATCACCGCACTCAAGAGTTGGGAAGAGATGCCCTGTAGCTCACACTTGTATTTCCACCAGATACAATAAAGGTAAATAACATCAAGAGTGTAATCAAATACATAGTTGATCCTCATTGTTGGCAGATTCCTTTATTTACGAATTTGCCTACTGGCTATAATTTATTTGTAACCCCGAGATCAATCCTTGCCATTTTTTCTCAGTCATTCATGAATATGTGTGGAGCAAAGAAAAATTTGAGTTGCCCCTTGCCCGGTTCCCAGCCCGGGTTTCTACCTTCTTGTTGCAGCTCTCACTGAACAGATGCCCCTTTTTCGAAGTCTACTTAACTGCCACACTTTCTGCATTTTTGTGCTTTTGTTGTTCAGTGTTTAAAAGGGCCCCACTAGCGCTGAAGTGCTGTCTAGTGCTCCTGAGGTCAAGAAGGCTTGTGATTGATCCAGCCTTTTGGACAAAATACATGAGTTAGATAAGCTTCCTTCAGGCATGAGTTACAGTCCCACTGGCCACAAGTTCAGTGTTACAGCATCAACACATAAAACAAGATTATATATTGATCAGTTGATGAAAATATTGTGAACAGAGGCTCACAGGCTCCTAACCCTGTATTTCCCCCAGGAGCAGTGATTCCAGCCTTGTATTCCCTTATTCAGTTTCATGGCAACTTTTATTTTTTTTATTTTTTATTTTTTATCCTCACCCGAGGACATTTTTGCATTTTTTGTTGTTGTTGTTCAGACAGACCGGGAGGGAGAGAGAGGAAGAGAGAGAGAGAGAGAAACATCGATGTGAAGGGACACATCGAGTGGCTGCCACCCGCACGACCAACCAGGGCCGGGGACAAACTGCAACCGAGGTACGTGCCCTTAGCGGAAACCGAACCCGGGTCTCTCTGTACCGCAGGCCGACGCTCTAACCGCTGAGCCAAACCGGCCAGGGCTCATGGCAACTTTATAGAATTAACTATCATGAATAAGAATCGAGTATAGTAATTAGGAACTGATGAGTTTTAAGTAATCATTACCTTTGTTTTAAATATAATTATTAGTTGTAAGCTTGTAAAATTTAATTTTTAGTAACCTGTTTTTTTAACAACTGGCTTGCAAAATTCCCAACGTTCCACTCTCTCTCAGATCTGCTGGGCACACCACTTGCAACAAGGTAGCAGCACGTAAACAAAGGTTGGTCTGACTCCAAAGCCTCATCTCTTGTTTTTTGAAACTTCAGGTGGGAATGCTAATGGAGGTGAAATTGCTCACCAGGTGTTAGTGTAACTCAGGGTGCTAGATGGACCCCATTCACTGGGAAAAGAACCTCCCACCTTCTTGTGGTTCTGGTCTGGCCGCAGGACTGGGAAGAATTTATGAAAGAGTGTGGCATAAACCGTGACAGGAACCAGGCAACATCATTTAAATGACAAAGACCTTGTGCTTTGAGGATTTTATTTCCTATAAACTACTACTGATCAGTGCTACAGCAGTGAAGCAAAGAGCTCAAGAAAATAAGACCAGAACCAAAAAGGAAAATAGACCATACAAGCTAAAAATAATCAGGCCATAAGC